GTGCCCTTCCATGTTCATTGTTTCTCGGAGTTCCGTCCCCCGCCGATAGATGTCACTGTTGAGGCGGCGCATTGAGGTGACGCAGCCATCGGAACGGAGCACAATATGTTTCTTGACAATATGAGCCCTATGTCAGCAAGGGTGGGGGGTGGAGGGGAAAGGGGGGAGGGGAGGAAAGGGAGGGAATGATGGGGAAGAGGACAGCGAGAATGAGGGGAAACTTGGGGTTGTCGAGGGCGAGAGGCGAAGGCGTGGGAAGAGAGGAGGAGAAAGAGTGGGTGAAAGCGAAAGAGAGAGAGAGAGAGAGAGAGAGAGAAATAAATCGAAAGAGAAAGAGAGGGAGAGCAAAAGAGTGAGAATGATCGGTCAGTAATGGTCTGAAAAATAAACTCAAGTGAAATAAAAAAAAAAAATAAATAAATAAATAAATAAAAGAAAAAGCAAGATAAATCAGAGCTAGATAAAACACTAAACAAAACAACGAATTCATAGGGATTTATCGTCACGTCGAGGGGGGGGGAAAAAAGGTTTTTAAAATCCGCGAAAAAAAATCAACAGAAAGAAATTAAAAGAGTAATTTGAGATTCGGTCATTCATCAAATAGAAATTCGACTATTAAGCTTCCTATTATCCTTCGCTTATCGCCTGGTACATTGCGTAATAGGATTGCATTCATCAAAATGTGTGATACATTAGGAAGAGAAAGAGAGAGAGAGAGAGAAGAGAGAGAGAGAGAGAGGAGAGAGAGAGAGAAGAGAGAGAGAGAGAGAGAGAGAGAAGAGAGAGAGAGAGAGAGAGAGAGAATGGGAGAGAGGTTAAAGTGGTTAGAAAGAGGGAAAACGATAGAGAGACAGACAGACAGAAGAGAAAGAGAGAGAGAGAGAGAGAGGGAGAGAAGGGAAGGAAGGGAGGTAAGAGAGAGAGAGAGAGAGAGAGAGAAAGGTTAAAGTGGTTAGAAAGAGGGAAAGCGATAGAGTGAGAGACCGAAAAACAGACAGAACTAAACAAACCAAATAAAAAAAAAATAAGAGAGAGAGAGCGAGAAAGAGAAAGAGAGAAAGAGAGAGAGAGACATATATATGAACAGCGTCCTCCCCCTCCCCTTCCCCCCTCCCCCACCCTTCCCCCTCCTCCTGATTGTTGGGGAAACATTTGGATTTCTATTTATGCCCGCGTGCCCTTCCATGTTCATTGTTTCTCGGAGTTCCGTCCCCCGCCGATAGATGTCACTGTTGAGGCGGCGCATTGAGGTGACGCAGCCATCGGAACGGAGCACAATATGTTTCTTGACAATATGAGCCCTATGTCAGCAAGGGTGGGGGGGGGGTGGAGGGGAAAGGGGGAGAGGGGAGGAAAGGGAGGGAATGATGGGGAAGAGGACAGCGAGAATGAGGGGAAACTTGGGGTTGTCGAGGGCGAGAGGCGAAGGCGTGGGAAGAGAGGAGGAGAAAGAGTGGGTGAAAGCGAAAGACAGAGAGAGAGAGAGAGAGAGAGAGAGAGAAATAAATCGAAAGAGAAAGAGAGGGAGAGCAAAAGAGTGAGAATGATCGGTCAGTAATGGTCTGAAAAATTATTATGTAACCCAATCAATGCACCGATATTCCATTAGCCTCTCCCCCCCTCTCCCCGGCCCCCCTCCCCTCTCCCCTCCCCCCCCTCTCCAACCCCATCGTCGCCTTCATTTCGTGTTTACAAACTCCGTGTTGCGCCGGGGTGGGGGGGTGAAAGGAGGGAGGGGGGAGGGGGGCAGGCTCCATATACTCTCGTTGAATTTAATTTTTTCTTTAAAATTGTTCATGTTATTATTTTTATTACTATTATTATTATTATTATCATTATTATTATTATCATTATCATTGTTATTACCATTATTATTATTATCGTTTGTTTTACTTTATTCAGTTTTTTAGCTTTTCATAGTTTATTTACTTTCATCGTTTCCATTTTCGTGTCCCGAATGCGAAGGAAGTTGAACAACTATATATTTTTTTATTATCTCCAGTTTCTTTTCCTTTGTGGTCTACTTTGGGTTTTATTATGATCATTTTTATAAAAGGTCTGTAATTTTTTCTCTGTCTCTCATCCTTCTCCCTCGAAAGTTGTCGGGAACTTTTTTTTTAATATCTTTTAGAATTAGATCATATCCTTCTAGTTAATTATCAAAGAAAATTGATTATCCTTCTCTCTTCTCATTCTTCTCTTTCCATCCTTGGTTTCATCTTTTCCTTTCCTTCGTCTTCATCTCCTCTTTTCTTTTTCTTCCTATTCCTAAACCTCCTCCTCTTTTTTTTCTTTTCTTTTTTTCTTTTTTCTTTTTCTTGCTCTTCATCTCCCATACAAGTTTAGTCCTTTTATTATTCCATTTTTCTTCGTCTTCTGCCTCTCTCCCTTCGCCCCCTCCCCCCCTCCCCTCCCCTCCCCCTCCCCCTCCCCCTCCTCCGCCCCTTAGGATCCCCCCGCAGGATTCTTGGCTCTGTCCCCCGGGCGAGCGAGCGAGCCAGAGTAGCGAGTTGGCAGCTTTTCGGGGGGTAGGGGGGGTAGGGGGCGAGCGAGCGCCTTCTTGGAGCCCGTGCCATGCCCTCTATTCACTCACCCACTCTGGCACTCGCTTACTCACTCACTCACTCATTCACTCACTCACTCACTCAATCACTCACTCACTGACTCTTATTCCATATCTCCTTCATTCCAACATTCTATCACACGTTCATTCGTTCACTTACTTTCTTTTCACTGTCTTTACCGCCTTCCTTCACTCTCTTTCTCTCTCTTTCCCTTCCTTCCTTCCCTTCCATTCCTCCTTCCTTCATTAACCGTACTGTCTTTCTTCTTCTCTCCTTCCTTCCCTCTTCCTCCCCTCCTTCCTTCTTTAACCGTACAATCTTTCTTCTTCTCTCCTTCCTTCCCTCCTCCTTCTCCCCCCCCCCCCCCCGCCCCCCTCGAGGATGCATCAGGGACCTTTTCCAGAACGCGCCGTAAGAATAATGACTGAGATCAGTAGCACGTATCTTTGGGTGGGGGAGGGGGAGGGGGGAGGGGAAAGGTAGGGGGAGTAGGAAGTAGGGGAAGGGAAAGGGGAGGAGGAAGAGGGAAGGGAAAGGGGAGGAGGAAGAGGAAAGGGAAAGGAAAGGGGGAAGGAGAGAGAGAAAGAGAAAGGGGGAAGTCCTTTTTTTTCATTTTCTTTTGTTAATTTATTCATTTATTATATGCCCGATATACTTACTTACATAAAAAAGCAACAAAACATAAAAGTAGAAAGGAAAAAAATAGAAGAAAGAAAAGGGTTGAGAAAACGGAGCCAAAGAGAAGGGAAAGAGAAGGGGGAAAAAGAGTAAATCTGTGGCAGCTCCCTAATGGCTCTTAGAAAGGGTGCCTGGTGAGGGTGCCAACTAAGGGGGAAGGCTTGGGGAAAGGGTGGCGCAGGGTTGGGGGGGGGGGGTGTTCCTCTGAGGACGGGCAGGGATGGGGAGAAGGGAAGGGGGGAAGGGTGCCTCCAAAGAAGGGCGTCCATAGAGGGTAGCCGGAGAAGGGTGGCGGAGATAGGGTGCCTGCAGAGGGTGCCTGGGAAGGGCTGGTGCAAAGGGTGCCAGGGTAGGGCGGCGGGGAAGGGCGAGGGGAGAGCGAGGAAGCCATAATCTAATAGAAAGTGCCCCTCCATTTTCTGGCTTTGTGGCTGGGTCTCGAGGGGCGGCTGTGACATTCACCGGCCGCTTCTGTTTCTAATCTCGCCTCGCCATTATGGTATGATTATATTATGATTATTATTTTGATTAGGGACGCTCTCCTCTCCCCCTCCCCCCTCCCCCTCCCCCTCCCCCTCCTTCTATTCCCCTTCAAATCACCCTTTCTCTCTTCTCTTCTATGTCTTTTTTTTATCTCTCTCTTCTCTCTCTCTCTCTCTCTCTCTCTCTCTCTCTCTCTCTCTCTCTCTCTCTCTCTCTCTCTCTCTCTCTCTCTCTCTCTCTCCTTCTCTCCTTCTTTCCTCTCTCTACGCATTCACTAATTCCCGGATTTCGTGTAATCCGGATTAGAACGCGATGACAGACTGTTATTTAGTTTATAAATCGCAGGAGCTGATTACGTCTCTGCTCTGGGATTTCTAGCCCGGGGAAGAAAATGGAGGAATTAGATAGATAGATAAATAGAGAGAGAAAGAGAGAGAGAGAGAGAGAGAGAGAGAGAGAGAGAGAGAGGAAGAGAAAGAGGGGGGCGGGGATCGTCAGGGCAACCGCACCAATTCCCCTTCGTCGTATTACACATATTAAAGTCAATAAAAATCGCCCTTGATAATCTGATGACTGGCACGCGGCCGCTCTCTCTCCCCAACACACACAACAAAAAATAAAAAATAAAAAAAAATAACTCCCGCTCCATCAAAAGCCATTAAGGAAACCCAAGAGTTGGGGGGGGGAAGGGAGGAAGAGGGGGGATTGTGGGGGGAGGAGGAGAAGGGAAGAGGAGAGGAGGGCGTTGGGGAGGAAGTAGGGAAAGGGAGGGGGAGGGGGGGAGGGGAGGGGATTAAACTGATTATATTGTACAAGATGAATTATTACGGTTTAAAATGGCTCTGCTTCTGTCGCGTTGAGTGAGTCAGTCCATATGAACTCTCGATTGCGCGCGGGACCTTATGTAGGCCTACGTTCGGAACCCGGATCGCGCTTTTTATATTTTATTATTATTATTATTATTATTATTATTATTATTATTATTATTGGTTTTGTTTTCTTTCTTCTTTGGTATGATCTATTTTTTTTATTGTAGCCTGTCATCGTTCTTTTTTATCATTGCTTTAAAGAAGTTAGTTTCAATTCTCTCTCGCCGATATTCCAGTTTCATTTAATTTTCTCTTTTCTTCCTTAGTATCAGTAATATTATCATCTTCATCATCATCATCGGCATCGTTATTCTCTATTTTTATATTGCTGCTCCCTATTCCCTCTTTATTTACACTTGCATCGTATTTTTCCAGCCAATAATAATCCCGTATTTTCCTTCCCCAGATGAACCTCGCGATATGATTGGTCACCCAGATGACGATCCTAAGCGCCAGAGAACGCAGTACAACACAGACCCGCTATACACTAATGTAAGTTTTATTGAGAGATAATAGTGATGATAATAATGATATTAATAGTAATAAAGATGATGATAAGATATATTTGTAAGAAGAAAAGATATTGTAGTATTTTCAGTATCGTCTCTAGACTTCTTGTTAATGTTATTGGTATTACTATTGTCATTATTGTTATTGTTATTATTATCATTATAATCGTTATCACTATTATTATCAGTAGTAATAGCAGTATTTTTATTATTGGTACTAATACCATTACCATAATTATTATTGTTCATTCAGAAGTCTAAAGAAGCTGCTGTCATGACGGGAATAAATTATTATTATAAAGCACGGGCTCTGTCCTGATTTAGATAGATCTGCCTCAAGTTATTTGCCGTAACGAAAGAGTGAAAGAGAGACGGGGTGGGGGTGGAGGGGGGGAGGGGGGGAGCACTCGATGCATTACCAGTTTGACGAAGATATTATTCATCGCCGGAATTATGACGGGGCGATATTGCACAACTGAGAGCAATGTGAGGGACTTCCTCCTTCTCCTCCTCCTTCTTCTTCTTCCCCTTCTCCTTCTCCTTTTCGTTCTTCAGCTTCTTCTCCTCCCCTTCTTTTTTTCCCTCACCTTCTTTTTCTTAGGCTTATCATCCTCTTCCTTTACCCCTCCTTTCTTGTGCTGTTATCTTCATTTCTTCCATCTTATTCCTCTTCCTCCTCTTCTTCCTCCTCCTTCTCCTCCTCCTCCTCCTTCTCCTCCTCCTCCTCCTCCTCCTCCTCTCTTCCCCCACCCCCTCACTCTCTTCCTCTTGTCTCTCCTTCTGTCTCCTCCTCTTCCTCCTTCCTCCTCCTCCTCCTCCTCCTCCTCCCCCGCCCCCCCAATCCATCTCTCGGAGGCCAGTACTCGAAGGTGTTATACATGCAAGAACTGTGCCCTTGAGACCTCTTAACTGTCGAATGTGAATGAGGATAATTTGTTTTCTATAAGACAAACAGAAAACGTATTTCCTTACTGACCCCCACCCCCCTTTCTCTCTCCTTTCTCTCTCTCTCTCTCTCTTTTCTCTCTCCTATCTCCTTTCTGTTTTCTCTCCATTTCCCTCTCTTTTTTATGTTTAAGCTTTTCTCTCTGCTTTCGTCCATTCTTGTATTTAGTTATCTGTCCTTCTCTTCGCTTCTTTGCTCTTCTGTTCCTTCTACCTCTTCTTTATCCTTCTCGTTCTATTCCTCCTCTTTCCTCATTCTCTTCCTCTTCCATCTATCTGACCTCCTCTTCTTCCTTCCTTCTCTTCCTTTTCCTGGATTCCTGGTCTTCTTCCTCCTCCTCCTCTCCTCCTTTCCTCCTTTTCCCCCCTTCCCTCCTCTCCTATCTATCTATCCTCTCCCTTCCCCTTGCTCCCTTTTCGTAAGGCAGCTGAAGACAAAGGGATCGTATTCCACAATCTCGAAGAAAATGGAGGAAGCTCCGATGTCTTACAGCAAAATTGAGCAATAAAACAGATTTATTACACCTTGGTGCTCCAAATCACCCAAACAAAGCAGTCTATATCTTTCATAACTACCATTCCCTCGAGGTCATTTGTAATCTTATTGGTCAATTCACGATATGAAAGCCTCCTTCCCCCCCTCGCTCCTGCCCCCTGCCCCTCCCCCTCCGGCGGTCAACGGCAGCCAATCAAAGCTTCGGATCATATTCTTGGTTACGTGAAGTAGCCAATCACTGGCCTTATTACCTGCTTTGAAATTCCGAGAGGCGCCGTGCCAATCTCAATTTGTTGGGGCAGCTGATTTATGAGGGAGTTACGGCCCCTTTTATTTGTCTTCGGGCGGTTCCTCCTTCGCCTTTTATTTGCGCTGGGATCGTAGTCTCCTGGAGTTATGGCGCAGACATTTTGGTTTATGGCAGTCATGGTGCCGGCCGGGGACGACGTGCAGTCACACATCCCTCTCCTCCCCTCTGTCCCTCTCCCCTCTTTCGTCTGTCCCTCCACCCCGCTTCCCCTCCCTCTCTCTCTCTCTCTCCCCTGGCCCCTCGTTCCCCTCTCCCTCTCCCTCTCCCTCTGGCCTTCCCAACCCTTCCCTTCCATTCTCCTCTCTTCCTCTGCCGCCATGATTGCTCTGCCTTTATTTCAGTTCTTTTGTGTTTTCTTTCTTTCTGTTTCGCGTTTTCTTTCTCGCTCTTTCCTTTCCTGTTTTTTTTTCTTTCTTTCCTTTGCCGCTTCGATTTTTTTTTTCTCTATCCCTTTCCTCCTTTCATTTTCCCCTTCTCCACCATTTCGATTCCTTCATTCCTTAGTATTTCCCCTTTTTCTTCCCCTCGCTTCTCCTTTCCACATTGCTTTTCATCCCTCTTCCTTTCCACCTTTCTTCTACTTCTCCTTTCCTCCCCCTTTCCATCCCTCTCTCGCTCTCTTCATTTCCCTTCCTCTTTCTCCTCTTCTGTCACCTTTCCCTCCTCTTTCTCTTCCCCTTTCTCCTTAGTCTCCTTGCCTCCGTATCGCCTCCTCCTCCGTCCATTACCCAGCGTCTAGGATGTCCCCGTCAAGGTCCTCTCCCTTCCCCCCTCCCCCCCTCCCCTGTTCTCTTACTTCTAGGGGAGTCCTTGGTCAATGGATGGCCTTTTTATCGTTTTTCCATTATATTCGTCTCCGATTTTATTTATTTATTGCCTTTTTTTTACCTCTTTTTCGCATTTTTGAGTTGTGGCTTAAGTCTGAACGGGACCCTCCCCCCCCTCGGCGACAGTGACACAATACGAGTGTCGATGCTGTGTCGATACTGTGAATTTCAGCGTCCACTTTGTGTCTCTCCTTCCCTAGCAGACAGCTCCTTTTCTCTCTCTCTCTCTCTCTCTCCATCTATTTATCTGTCCATTTTTTTCTAGCTGTCTGTCTATCTTTCTCATTTTCTCTATTCTCTCTCTCTCTCTTCTCTCTCTCTCTCTCTCTCTCTCTCTCTCTCTCTCTCTCTCTCTCTTCTCTCTCTCTCTTCTCTCTCTCTCTCTCTCTCTCTCTCTCTCTCTCTCCTCCCTCCCTCCTTCGCGTGCCAGAAGGAATAACGAAAGAATCTGGATGAAATTCCGATAAGTCTCCGCAGAAACAACCTTAGTCTACTCACGCAAAATTCTTCTGTGATTTCGTCGATAGAATCTGTGATTTCTTTTCTTCTTTTTATTCTTTCTTTTCTTGACGCGTCTTGCTTTTTTTTTTTTTTTGTTGGGGGGGAAGCTTAAATATTAAAGTGGTACTTAGCAGGACCTTGTTTACCTTACCGATCGGGGCGACCTCTCGCGCGCGCTCTCTCTTGCACGGCGCCCGGACACGCCCACGGCCAAATGACACCTCGGCCGCGCTTTCGACCTGTTGTCACGCCCATCACTCACTTGGCCATCAGCTACACCCACCCATTTGCACGTTCTCCCCCCCCTCCTCCCTCCTCCCCTCCCTCCTGTCCCCGCCCCCACCCCTCTTACGGAATCAATGCCCAGTAATGACTTTTATGATGTAAGAGTGGCGGGTAAATACACTAACCGCATGCCCGCCCGCCCGCCCGCACGCCCACGCTAGTGCTCTCCGCCATCTTCGCCATCATCATCGTCGTCATCGTCATCGTCGGGATAATCGGACGACTGTCACGCGAGCCAAGGGGGGGAGGGGGAGGTCGAGGCTTCGTTCCCTTCCTTTCGATCGCCTGAGTAACGACTCGGTTCGGGTAGACGCACTCAGAGGGCCTCGTCGGGTACGCTGCTGTGTCACGCCCCTGCCCCCCCCCCCTCCACCCCCCTCCACTCTCTCCTTTCTAGCCCTCCCCCCCCTCGCCTCTCCTCTCTCCGCCCCTCCTTCCCCTCCGTCCCTCTCGCTCCTCCTCGGTCTCTGCAGAGTCGCCAGCCATCTTGCAATGTGTAGTCAAGCTGCAGTTCTTCCCTGGCCTCTGCTCTTCCTCCTTCTTCATCCCCCTCCTCCTCCTCCTCTCCCCCCTTCCCTTCCCCCTTCATCCATCTCCCTCTCCTCCCCCCGCCCTTCTTCCCCCCCCCCCCGCCCACCCCCGCGGCCAGTCATTGTTCGAGCAGAGAATTACCTAATGAGTGTAAGGAGTAACGGCCGGAAAATTAATCATTTGCGGAAGGAGCGATTGGCGGCCCGTCGCTCGGCCGAGGGAGGCGCGGCCGGGGACGCCGCTCGGATATCCTGCTGCGACGGCTTGGCCTTCTGTGTGTGAGTGTGTGTGTGTGTGAGTGTGTGTGTGTGTGTGCACGCATGCAAGCGAGAATGCTTGAGCGCGGGCGGCGGAGGTCATGCATAAGCATGAGCGACGCCCGAGCCGGACACGGGGGACGACGGAGGGTGACGAGACGCCTCGGAGGCGGAAGAGCCGCCGCCGCCTCGGCTCCTGTGCCACCCGACTCCTCCAGTTGGCAGCATGATACCTTGCAACGCCGGCCTTGCAACCGGAGGACAGCGCTCCGTGACGGGGAGTGCAACATTGCCGCTCTTATGCAAACACGCGACTGAACTACCGCATTTAATACCACCACTCCCCCCCTCCCCCGCCCCAAGCACGAGGGGGGAGGGGGCGCGTGCCGAGAAGGCAGCCGTCACGCCCGGGCCGCGCGCTAATGCCCGTGCTGAATATAAATTGGATATTGGAGCGAGGCGAGGCGGCCGCAGCAAAAAATGAAGGGCGCCTCCGAGTACCGCGGCCGCAAGAGCGAGAGGACGCCATCCCGTACGCCGAAGGGGAGGAAGGGCGGCCGCAGTCCACCTCCCGACTTGCGCCCTCGTCGATAATCGGTCTCGTCCCCGCGGGAGCCGAGTCGCGACCGTATTTGAAGTGTGCATAAGTTATGTCAACGGCGCCTTCTGCCTTCGCTCCTTGCTTACCTCTTCCGCCCTCGCGGGCGAAGTGGCTCCTGAAGGCTTCGAAAAACGCCCAAGTTGTCATTGAATTGTCACGTTGACTCGTGAATTTCGCCAGAGGAAGAAGCGATCCAGATAGCATCATTAGAAGAATTACTAACATTACCGCCTTTATTCTACAGTTGTTATCCCTCCCTCCTTTATCATTCCCGCATCTCACCGCCTCTTTCTCCGACAGATGTTATGGTCGAAGCAAGCCTGGCCGGCCCTCAAGACCGAAGACGCCACCAAGACGTTGCTTCCAGACCTCGGCGGCGGCGTCACGGGAGGCGCCGCTTCCCCCTACAGGTAGGTCGAGAGACACAGTCACGGAAGTCCTGCCTTCTCATATTTGTTTTATCTTTTATTATTATTTCATTCTGATAAAGATGTTTTTACAAGTTTGCGTTCGTGCGTTGAATGTGTGTGTGTGTGTGTGTGTGTGTGTGTGTGTGTGTGTGTGTGTGTGTGTGTGTGTGTGTGTGTGTGTGTGTGTGCAAATGCGTTATGGCCTGTACCAACCTGACACTAATTGACCCCCTCCCCCCCGCCTCTCCTCCAGCAGCGTCCAGTCGTTCGTGGACCACCCGGCCAGCTACCCGTCGGTGTCCGCCGCCTCCGCCTCCACGGACGCCCTCTACGAGACGATGGCCATGACGCAATCCAACACCAACCAGGTCTACTCGCCTCCTCTCGCTACTTCTCTCGGTAAGTCGCGCCTCAGGATGTTTGTCACTCCTTCTCCTTCTTCTTCGTTCGGTTCTTATCTTCTTCCTCCTTGATTTCCTTTTCATCTCCCTTTTTTTGTGTCACAACTTTCGGGTGAAATCTTACGTTCTTGTGAGTTCTTACGTTTCCTTCCTTTTTTTTATCTGATTCTCATCCTCCTGCTTTCTTCATCTCTAACCTCCCTCCCTTCCCTCTCATTCCCCTTCTCCCTCTCGCTCCCTCCCCCTTCCCCTTTCCCTTCCGTTCCCTTTCCTCCCTCCCCTTCCCTCCCTCCCTCCCTCCCTCCCTCCCTCCCTCCCTCCCTCCCTCTTCGAAGACGGCGTCGGCGGGTCCACGTCATCTCTTCTACGTTCATGGTGATGGGTTTGGTGATGTCCGTAGTTCGTTGAAAAAAAAAGAAAAGAAAAATAAAGAAAATAAAAAAAAAACACAAAACAAAGCCAAAGATAGAAAAGCTCAAACTAGAATGTTGTTTCATAAGTGAAGAAAAGGAGGGCGAAAGAACGGGGAAAAAAAGAGGAACCAGATTCTTTTTTTTTTCCCCGTTTCTGTCCCCTCCTGTTTGACAAGAAAAGAAGAATAAAGAGAGAGAGTAAAGAAAGTCAAACAAAGAAAGAAAGAGAGAGAGAGAGAGAGAAACTCAAGAAAATAACTGTGTGGTTGGCCTCCTACAGGTAGCGCAGGTGGACTGACACCTCTCACACCCATCACCATGCAAGATGTGAAGCCCGTGCTCGCTGCTCCTTCAGTCCTTGACACAACCGCATCCCAGTTCCATCAAGGTAAGCATCCCCCCACCCCTCGAAACGCCTCCCCCCCTCCCTTCCCCCCTCCCCCCTTTCCATCCACCCATCCATCCAAGCAGCCCATCGGTTCATCCATTCCCATCCATCCCGCGACGTTCGGGCTCGCTGGCGCCGACGTCCCTCCGGCCACCGCGGAGGCATTTGCGGATCTGTGTAAATCTCCATCCATCACATGCATTATTCACTTACTATTATCGTCATCTTTATTATCCTCATGCATCATCCTCATTCTCGGGGCATCTTGTCGTTCTGAATCATCCTCGATGTAAGGAATCAGGTTGGATATGAATCCCGGGGCATGGAAGCGCGGCTAGAACGTATCCACTTTCGGCGACACGCACGGCTGCGTCTCAAACGTATCTACAGAACCGCGCCGACACAATTTAATCACGGGAGATCCGCGCCATCTTCGGGGATTCTCGGCTGTTCTTGCGAGTGCGACGAGCGGGGAAGAAAGGGAGAGAGAGAGAGAGAGTAAAGAGGAGAGAGGGAGAGAGATCCGGCCTGGGAACCTGAGCCAAGTTTAGCCATAAAGTCGAGGGAATCACCGGCCACAAGTTCGTCTCCGGGGCTGTTAAGTCAGCAAGTTTGCTTGGAAGTCATCGCACTACGCACGGATCGCGCGGAGAAAGTTTACATTAGGTCGGAATCTGCTCCGAGACGGCGCTGAAATTCCCCATGAAATGCGTCCGTCTTGCAGGCATCGCCGGCGAGACCGTGACTCCTGCGAGGCCGCGCGCCCGAGGCAAGGACCCGAGGCGAGGACCCGAATGGAGCTCCTTGGCGGGTCGGGCCGAAGGGGACGGCCTTTCTGAGGATCTCGCCCTTCTCTTCGCCACGCTCTCTCTCTCTCTGTCTCTCTCTCTCTCTCTCTCTCTCTCTCTCTCTCTCTCTCTCTCTCTCTCTCTCTCTCTCTCTCTCTCTCTCTCTCTCTCTCTCTCTGTCGTCCACTGGACGTAATAAATTTATCAATTCAATTCCCTCTCTCTCTTTCTTTCTCCCTCTCCCTCCCTCTCTCTTTCTCCTTCACTTTCTCTCTGTCCTTCTCCCTCTCCCTCTCCCTCCCTCCTGATCCCCGCCCCCTCGGCCTCCCCCTCAAGACGGCACTAGATCGGCAGCCATTTTGGGAGGTGACTTTCCCTTCTTATATGGCTTTTTCTAGTAGACTTCGGCCCGACTTTAATGGCCATTCCAGTCCTCCGTCACCCGCGCGGCTCTCCAGCTTTCGCCTGGCCTCCCAAAAAGCGCCTCCGTCACCCACGTAAAATCTGTGTGTGTACTTAAGGGCGGGCGACACGAGCGCGGGTAAGATATCCTGGGCCGCCGCAGCCGTAACTCATCTTGCGTCCGCCAACAATGTCGGGACAATGGTGGATTTTACAGTCGCGGCGCCGTATTCAGCCATGGAATTTTATCGCCGTTTCGCTGCCGTGAAAAGCGGGATTCTATGAACACTTTGATTTATCGAACAAGGCCTGCCTGGCTCGGGATCAGAGGAGGAAGAAAAAGAAGAAGAAGAAGAAGAAGACGAAGGAGAAGGAGATGAACGGGGGGAGGAAGGAAGAGAGGGAGGGGAGGAGGGTGGAAGGGAGGGAGGGGAGAAGGAAGAGAGGAAATCAGGGGTGAAAAGGGGAGGAGGAGAAGGAGGAAGGAGGGGAGAAGAAAGGGAGGGAGCGAGAGCGGATTTCACGAGGGAGAAAAGAACGGCTTTTTCAGCAACCGGAGCGGGTGACCGTCGCTTGGAAGAAATATTTAGTGGGCACAAAGCACTCCCCGGAACGAGCTGCTGAGCACTGTTCGGGCGTCATAAGCTAAAGGAAACCGATCCCAAGAAGCTATCGAAGTCCGCGCTGGGAGATGAAGGATGCCGTTGCAAGGACGCTGGTCGGCGCGGGGGAGGTGGGGGGAGGGGGAAGAGGAGGGAGGCCGGGGGGCGGGCGGGATCGCTCATTTCCATTTCCACTTCTATTTCCCTTTTCATTCATTTCCATTTTCATTCATTTTCATTTCTACTTCCGTTTCCATTTTTTTTCGTTCGTTTTTCATTCCCTCTTTCATTTTGGCTCACTTCCATTTTTCATTTCCGTTGAATTTCAGTCTCATTTCACTCGTTCTCATTCTCATTTTCACTCATTTCCGTGTTCATGTTCCCTCTTTCTTTTCTGTTTATTTGTTTTTGTGTTCATTTTACATTTGTATTAACTACTTTTCGGTTTTGTTTTGTGTTTCCCTGTGTTCTAACCTCCTAACGTGTTTATTTTCTTGTTTTCCTCTGTGTTCCCTGTTCTTCCCTCTCACCCACGTCATCCAGCAATTATACCATAGTGAAAACGAAATCTAATATCCCTCATTCCTGTCAGCAACTCTATTAATCCATCGCCAATCCATCCATCCCTTAACATCTGTCGAGAAATCAAAAACAAAATAATAATGATAAAATAAAAAAATAACATTTTTTTTTTGCTGTCGCTGATCTTACTGACGAAGGTGTCTGGTCCACTGTCAAATAACTGGCTAGGAATCCTGGAACCGGGAACTGGGACTGGGAATCAAACCCCTTGCATGTTATATCATCATCTGTTGCATGAGAATTCATTATACATTAGTGCTGTGCATGGACGCCCATTTTGTTGTTGCATGATTGCATGATAACTATGTGTTTATTTTTTTTCTCCTCTGTCTGTGATCTGAAATATATTATTTTTGATGTAGCTCTTTCAGTATGAATTCATTTTTATTTTGATGTTTTTTTCTTTAAATGTGTCTGTAATAGAGTTCAGTTGCTTTTTCATGCAAGATAATTTTGACTTAAATGCACATTAGCACCTGTGCACTAATTTGCACCTGCACTTGCACCTGTAGAAGTGACAGGGACGCAGCCCGGGCGGTGCAGCCACAGCCTTAGCACGAGCAGCGCTTGGCGAGGCCGCCCGCCCTCGGCCTCCGCCTGCCCTCGCCTCAGCGCCCTCCGAGGGCGTGGGTCGTCGGCTGAGTGCGGAGGGAGCCTCGTGCGTCGTCTCCGCGCCACGAACAAGCGCCGAGGATCCTCTCCCTCGAGGTCGTGGTCGCTTCCGGCCGACTTCGAGGGGGAGGACCTCGCGCTCGCTCGTGTCGCGGGCGATGTGTGGCTCTGAGGGCGGACAAGCTCTTAGGCCTGGCGCTGGCTGCGTCCCGTAGATGAGCTCTTATTTTTATGTTGTTTGAGAAGCGCCGCCGCGCCCTCTCGGTAAGGAGGAGCCGCCCGGGGGAGCGAGAGCCTCCTCGTGGCGCCCGCCTTGCGGTGAGGACGCGCGGTCTCGACGCCGCGCCCGCGGGCTCACTCGTCTCTTAGGAGGGGTGTCAGAGGGGTTTTAAGAAGTGCTTTGATGAAGCGTAAGGGTCTGAATTCACGGGACTAAATAGCATAGAGACGAGCCCGAGTCCGTGGGCGGCGCCGCGCGGGTGCGCCCGATCGCCGGCTGTAGTTGAGTGTGTGAGTGTGATGGGAAGTTGTTATCTGCACGTCAGGTGGGTCCGTCTACACCCCCCTGAGCAGCACGCAGCCTCAGCCCTCCTCAAACGCCGCCTACACCACCGCGGCCGCCCACTACCCGGACCACACGCCCGTGTCGCCCGCCCAGTGCACGTCGAGCGAGAGCGTGACGTCGCTGGACACGCTGGTGGTGGCGCCCTGCTCGTCGCCCCTCAAGGCGGACACGCCCTGCACCTCTGCCCTCACGGTCCTCCAGCCCGCGTCGCACGCCCATGCCGCCACCCACCACGTCCCCAACCATGCACACACCCACGTGCATACCCCATCGCATGCCCACGTACCCATGCATGCCCATGCCGCGGTCACTCCCGACCCGACCTACACCACCCTCCCGCCCATCACGCACTACTCAGGTAAGCCCTCCGCCCCTCCGCCCTTCCCTTCCCAGGTAAGTCCCTCCACCCCGGCCCTCCTCCCACTCCTCTCCCTCGAGTCTGCACCCCGCACGCCCACTTGCATGTCCACGCCCGCGTCCCGCCCACGCCCGGGTCTTGCCGCGTGGCCTCCCCCCAAAGGGTCCCGCTTCCAGATTCCCAGTCCCTCAGGAGCGTCTCCGTCGCCCTCCTCTCGGCCAGTTGCCCAGACACCTCCGTCGCCGCGTCACTTCACGGGGCCCTTCGAGGCGGCCGTTCAGTCTTTAGGTCTTTGTTCTCATTTTTAGAGCCAAAACAGTAGGATTTACAACCCGCCTATTTTCCCCTGAGAAATCGAAGGAACCTGAAGCCTAGAATCTCCCTCGCCGCCAAAGACTTTCAAGTCGGTTCCCCACCCCCCATTCAGACAGGGAGTTCATTCATGTCAGGCCAGATAATCTATTTTTATTCTACCTATTTTATTTACATGTTTATTCATCGTTACCCCATGGGTTTATTTATCTATTCCTTTATTTTTTTTTATTTACTCACGTCTTTTATTTATCCATTTACATTCGTGTTCTCCTTTTTTTGTGTGTGTGTGTCCGATTGCGCTGCTGACCTACGCGACTAACGACTTCGTTCTTCCTCCCTCAGGCACGGCCGGGTCCATGGCAGATTACACGTACTCCTCACCGTACACTCAGTATTCCTCTGCGTACCCCACTTACGGCTACGGCACGGGGGGTCTCCTTAGTAAGTAACTGTGAGTATTGGTGTACCTTATCTTTTTTGGTTCTTTGTGTTGGCCTGTTAACCTTTTTTTTCCCTCTCACTTTTTCTGTTTTCCCTGTGGATCGCTTTCTTTCTTTCTTTTTATGTTCTCCGTCTCTCTCGTTCGATTTTTTTTCTCTCACTCTCTCGCTCGATTTCTCTCTCTCTCTCTCTCTCTCTCTCTCTCTCTCTCTCTCTCTCTCTCTCTCTCTCTCTCTCTCTCTCTCTCTCTCTCTCTCTCTCTCTCTTTCTCTTTCTCTCCTGATTCTTTTTTCCGTTCACGTCCATTGATTTGGTTTTCCCCTTTTCCGTATTTCCTGAATTCTCCTCCTTAGCATCACGGATATATAGACTTAGAAGTCAATTTCACCATAGTTTTCCTAAGACACGGGTAGAGAATACTCCAGGTGACAGGGTGCAGGATCAGTCTTTACAAAGCCGATGCACTTGCGGTAGAAGTAGATACTTTCCTTCATTTTCAGCTCTCAAAATACCTTTTCGCGACGTGCTAACCTTGTCCCTTTTCGCGCCCGCAGACATGGGGAACTACTCGAGCTCCAGCAACGGTGGTAACAACAGCAACGGCGGTGGCAACAGCGCCAACAGCAACGCCACCACCAACAGCGCCAACACCACCCCCACCAACAACAACAACAACAACAGTCACAACAACACGGCGGCGCGGCTGCGCATGTTGCAGTCGTCCCTGGGCGCCTCCATGTGCGGCAGACAGGACCGCTGCACGTAACGCTGTGACGTCACCTCGTCTCTGCTGTGCGTCCGTTGGCGAGCAGGTGTCCGGCTTATCAAGACAACTGTGATGCGACAGACCTCCGCTCCCCCTCCTCGCTGCCCCTCCCCCTCCCGAGGGTCTCCCCTCCCCCCTCCCTTCCCTCCCGCGCTCCTGAGGCACGAGCCTCGCGCAGACGCGGCTGCGAGAGAAGGACTGAGGGAGAAGGAAGATCGCGATGAACCAGAGATTTATATATGTGGATAAGGAGCTGCAGAAGTCAGAGAAGAATAGCGAAGACGTCTACGAAGAGGAGGAGAAGCCAAAAAGGACCCGAAGACAAAAAGAGAAAGGAACACAAGTCTCCACGACCTGCGCGCCACGAGCCGCGGAGAGAGCGAGAGACGACCTCTAGTATAGCTGAGTGCGTGTTTGAGCAGCACGGACCGATCTCTTAGCTAGGATACCAAAGAATACCCACTCAAGTCACGAGCTTGCTTGAGTCGTGGCGGCCGAACGACCCTTTCCTTCTTCAGGCACACGCGTTCACTTCAGGAACGAACACCTCACGGTCAACACAGCCCCCTCCCCCCGCCTCTTGCCCTCCCCCTTCCCTCCCTCCTGCCCCTCCGCCCGAGGCATTTCATCTTGTACATAGCACCCGTCGACGCAGGCCTTTCCTGGTGTGCCTGAAGGAGGCAAGCGAGGGGCGCCGACTCGCACACCTCTTTCCACTCTGGGCGCGGCGGGGAAGCCTTCCTCCCGACGCGGGATGAAAGCAGCCTGTCCCCGGCGCCGGCCACTCTCCTCTGTCGGGTCTCGGTTTTCTGTTTTGTTTTTGGGGTTTGTCGCTGTCCAGGACCTAGATCTACTGACTCGTGTTTTTGGCATCGATCAAAAACTTTCTAAATCCCTGTATCGTTTAAGTTTTATGATTTTTTTTTTCATTATGATAATATATGTATTTTTTTTTCTCCAAACAAAGACGCCTGTGAAATGGTGATTCGATTACCTCTTTTTATATATATATACGAATATATATATTATATATATATACATATATACCTCTTATTTTGTCTTGAAGAGGCTAAGAAAAACAACAAGAAAGCGGCTGAGGGTTCCGCGGGCGGCCGTCCGGGCCCTCGGGCACTGCTGTTAACCAAAGAGGCGTTTTTGGCTTCTGTCTCCCAGCCTGTGTGGTACAAGACGAAGCTTAGTCAGGTGGACCTCTCGTGGCACGGAGGTTGCTAATCAGGCCTCCGTTTTGTAGGAGGCCATGTTTTTTTGTATAGACATGTTTTTAAAAAAGAAAGAAAAAAAAAGAAGGATG